GGGAGGGGGTAGCAAGTGGTCAAGTAACTCACTGAGAACAACATGGTTTAAGTTCTTATAGAGATTATCCTCAATCCTTGCACCTGATTCTGCAGCACTGGGGGGAGGGGGTAGCAAGTGGTCAAGTAACTCACTGAGAAAAACATGGTTTAAGTTCTTATAGAGATTATCCTCAATCCTTGCACCTGATTCTGCAGCACTGGGGGAGGGGGTAGCAAGTGGTCAAGTAACTCACTGAGAAAAACAACATGGTTTAAGTTTTTTAGATATTATCCTCAATCCTTGCACCTGATTCTGTAGCACTGGGGGTAGCAAGTCATCAAACGCCTTTCGTCAAGAAAACATCGCCTGAATACTAGAAGCGCTAAACGTGATTACCGTCTCACATCAGCTAATAATAGTAAAAGAGTCTCCACACACATCTGGAAGTGATGACACAGTTTGATTCTGAGCAGTAATCGAACTGATCAGAACCGCCATTCGTAAAGATTATATTTGTTGGAAATACAGATCTAATAATAATCTTTTTGTGATAAAAAACTATAACTTTAAGGTGAACATATTGTTAGTTTTCAGTAAAAGATTGGAAAACGTAATTTAGCTTTTCATTATTTTGTTATACTTTATGAATATATATATATTTGTGGCGAGATCGAAACCAAGCGCTGTATATGTTCGCTCTTTCAGCCGTGTTGTCGTTATAATATACTGTTTAATCCCACTATTCATTGGTGAAAGAGTAGCCCAAGAGTTGGCGGTGGGTGGTTCTGGTTAATTGACTTCTCTCTCGCCAGTTGATCTTACAAAGTTAGTTGTAATTATCTTAAGTCTTTGTTTTTATCATCGTTCTTTGTAATAAATAGAATATGATATGCAACTAAATATGGAATAAATGTATCGTTGTTTCTTATAATAAGTAAGATATGATATGCAACTAAACATGGAATAAAATTATCCTTATTGATACGTATGTAATAATAAATAATTACTTAGTTTTAAATTAATATGTTGTTTTTGTATATTATTTTCTTTCTATGTACTTATCTGCTTAGTTTTAGAAAGTCTAAGATTTGTTTCTTTATTTATCCTGAATTTCACGCAAAGCTACACGAGGGCTATCTGCGCTAGCCGTCCCTAATTTACCAG